GCCTGCCTCGTGGGCCGGCACCCCCCCCCATGTGGCAGCGCAGTCACCCCTCCCCCGCCGTGTCTCGTCCCAGACCATGAACGACTTCGACTACCTGAAGCTCTTGGGCAAAGGCACCTTCGGGAAGGTGATCCTGGTGCGGGAAAAGGCCACGGGGCGTTACTACGCCATGAAGATCCTGCGGAAGGAAGTCATCATCGCCAAGGTGACTGGGCAGGGGTGGCCCTGAAGCTCTTGGGCAAAGGCACCTTCGGGAAGGTGATCCTGGTGCGGGAAAAGGCCACGGGGCGTTACTACGCCATGAAGATCCTGCGGAAGGAAGTCATCATCGCCAAGGTGACTGGGCAGGGGTGGCCTCAGGGCCCGAACCCAGGCCCACGCCAGCCCGCTGGCATGTCTCACCGGGTGACTCTGAGCAGAGGTGGCCACGGGGCCCGAACCCAGGCCCACGCCAGCCCGCTGGCATGTCTCACCGGGTGACTCTGAGCAGAGGTGGCCACGGGGCCCGAACCCAGGCCCACGCCAGCCCGCTGGCATGTCTCACCGGGTGACTCTGAGCAGAGGTGGCCACGGGGCCCGAACCCAGGCCCACGCCAGCCCGCTGGCATGTCTCACCGGGTGACTCTGAGCAGAGGTGGCCACGGGGCCCGAACCCAGGCCCACGCCAGCCGTCGGCGTGTCTCACCGGGTGACTCTGAGCAGAGGTGGCCACGGGGCCCGAACCCAGGCCCACGCCAGCCGTCGGCGTGTCTCACCGGGTGACTCTGAGCAGAGGTGGCCACGGGGCCCGAACCCAGGCCCACGCCAGCCGTCGGCGTGTCTCACCGGGTGACTCTGAGCAGAGGTGGCCACGGGGCCCGAACCCAGGCCCACGCCAGCCGTCGGCGTGTCTCACCGGGTGACTCTGAGCAGAGGTGGCCACGGGGCCCGAACCCAGGCCCACGCCAGCCGTCGGCGTGTCTCACCGGGTGACTCTGAGCAGAGGTGGCCACGGGGCCCGAACCCAGGCCCACGCCAGCCGTCGGCGTGTCTCACCGGGTGACTCTGAGCAGAGGTGGCCACGGGGCCCGAACCCAGGCCCACGCCAGCCGTCGGCGTGTCTCACCGGGTGACTCTGAGCAGAGGTGGCCACGGGGCCTGAAGCCAGGCCCACGCCAGCCGCCAGCCGTCGGCGTGTCTCACCGGGTGACTCTGAGCAGAGGTGGCCACGGGGCCCGAACCCAGGCCCACGCCAGCCGTTGGCGTGTCTCACCGGGTGACTCTGAGCACAG